AAGAGATGCCAGTGATAAATATATATGCACCAAACACCAGTGCACCCAACTATATATAAAACAAATATTAATGGACATGAAAAATCAAATATACACTAATATAATAGAAGTGGGGGACCTCAATACCCCCTGTCACAAATAGATAGATCAACTAGATTAAAAAATAAACAATGAAATACTAGAACTCAACCAAACTCTTGAACAAATGGACTTAACAAATGTCTACAGAGTATTCCACAGCACAAAATCAGAATACACATTCTTTTCAGCTGCACACGGGTCATTCTCCAAAGTAGACCACATATTTGCTCATAGAACATATTTAAGTAAGTGCAAAGGAATTGAAGTTATCCCCTGTATGTTATCAAATCATGGTGTGATAAAATTGGATATCAATAGCAAAAGAAACCACAAGAATTTCATAAACACATGGAAATTGAACAACACACTTCTGAACAACCAATGACTCAGAGTAGAAATTAAGAAATCAGACAGTTCCTACAATTAAATGGCAATGACAGTACAACATACCAGAATCTATGGGACACAATGAAAGCAGTCTTAAGAGGGAAATTCATAGCAGTGAATACGCATATTAGGAAAACAGAATGAGCCCAATTAAATAACCTGATGGTGAACCTCAAGCTTCTAGAAGAAGAAGAGCAGGACAAACCCAAAGCTCATACAAGGGAGGAAATTATAAAGATCAGAGGAGAAATCAATGCAATGGAGACTAAGAGAACGATACAAAAAAATCAATGAAGCCAAGAGTTGGTTCTTCGAAAGAATCAACAAAATTGACAAACCCTTAGCCAGCCTTGTCAGAAAAAGGAAAGAAAAGGCCCAAATCCATGCAATTAGGAATGAAAAGGGTGAAATTACAACAGACCCCTTTGAAATCCGGAGGATCATCAATACCTACTTCAAGAACCTATATGCCAGTAAGATGGAAAACATGGAAGAAATGGACAGATTTCTAGATATGTATGAATTACCAAAGTTGAACAAAGAAGACCTAAAATTTCTAAACAACCCAATATCAATCAACGATATTGAAAATGTAATTAAAAACTTACCAATGAAGAAAAACCCAGGTACTGCTGGCTTCACTTCTGAATTCTGCAAGTGATTTAGAGAAGAATTATTGCCATTACTGTTTAAACTCTTCAGTGAAACTGAAAGGGAAGCAATATTCCCAAATTCATTCCTAGAAACAAGCATCACGTTGATCTCAAAAGCAGAGAAAGACCCAACCGAAAAAGAGAACTATAGGCCAATCTCACTAATGAACATAGGTGAAAAAATCCTCAATAAAATACTTGCAAACAGAATGCAGAAGATCATCAAGAAGATTACACACCCTGACCAAGTGGGACTCATCCCAGGGATGCAGGGATGGTGCAACATACAGAAATCAATAAACATAATACAATATATAAATAGAGCCAAGGATGAAAAACATTTCAATAGATGCAGAAAAACCATTGAACAAAATCCAACATGCATTCATGATAAAATCTTACAGAAAATTTGAATAGATGGTCTCTACCTCAACCTGATAAAAGACATCTATGAAAAACCAACAGCCAGTTTCATACTAAATGGTCAAAAACAGAAATCCTTCATGCTAAAATCAGGAACAAGAGAAGGACACTGTCACCACTCTGATTAAATATGATTTTGGAAACATTAGCCACAGCAATTAGACAAAAGAAAGAAATAAAAGGAATAAAGATAGGAAACAAAGAAGTTAAATTGTCATTATTTGCAGATGACATGATACTCTATATAGAAGACCCCAAGAACTCTACCAAAAGTTTTCTAGACTTAATCACCAAATTCAGTAGAGTAGTTGGATACAAGGTCAATATACAAAAATTAATAGCTTTCCCGCACATGAACAACAGACTCACTGAGAGAGGAACTGGAGAAACAACTCCTTTCACAATAGAATCAGAAAAACTGAAATACCTAGGAATCAACCTTAAGAAAGGAACCAAAGACCTCTACTCTGAAAAGTACTGTACTCTGAAAAAAGAGATCAAAGAGGATATCAGAAAATGGAAAGATATCCTTTGCTCCTGGGTAGGAAGAACCAATATAGTGAAAATGGCCATACTTCCAAAACTGCTATATAGATTCTATGCAATCCCAATTGAAATTCCAACAGCATAACTTTTCTCAGAACTTGAGAAAACAATCCAAAAATTCATTTGGAACCAGAAGAGACTTAGAATAGCAAATGCAATTCTAGAGAACAATGTATCACAATCCCCAACTTGAAATTTTACTTCAAAGCTACTGTGATAAAAACAGCACGGTACTGGCAAAGAAATAGACCTGAGGATCAGTGAAATAGATTGGAAGTTGGAGAAACAACTCCAGACACACTCAGCCACCTCATATTCAACAAAGGAGCCAAACACCCTCACTGGAGCAAAGATAGCCTCTTTAATAAATGGTGCTAGAAAAATTAGGTTTCAACTTGCCATAGATTTAAACTAGACCTATATCTCTCACCATGCACTGAAGTAAAATCGAAGTGAATTAAAGATCTAGATGTTAAAACAAAAAAATACTAAACTGGCTGGAACAGAGGTTAGGTAGAACTCTTGGAGACACTGGCGTAGGAAAAGATTTCATGAACAAAACCTCAGTTGCAAGTGAACTCACAGAAAGAACCAACAAGTGGAATCTCATCTTATTAAAAAGCTTCTGCACAGCAAGAGAAATCACCAACAGAGTGAAGAGACGACGCACAATGTGGGAAGAAAATTTTCCCAGCTATTCAAGCTTTACCAGACAAAGGACTACTATCTAGAATATATAAAGAACTTTAAAAAATCAGACTGCCCCAAATTTAAAGAGCCAATCTAAAAATGGGCATCTGAAATGAACAGACATTTCTCAGATAAAGAAGTAGAAATAGCAAATAAACATGAAAAAATGTTCAGCATCACTAGTCATTTGAGAGATGAAAATAAAAACAATGCTGAGATTCCATCTCACCTCAGAAAGAATGGCTGTTATCAAGAAATCAACCAATAACAAGTGCTGGTGGGGCTGTGGGGAAAATGAACCCCTCTCCACTGTTGGGAGTGTAGACTGGTGCAACCAGTGTGGAAATCAGTATGGAGACACCTCAAAAAACTAGGATTAGAGGTCCCATTTGATCCAGCTATTTCCCTGCTGGGTATATTCCCAAAAGAATTACAAGGGATATATGTGCACCCATGTTCATAGCAGCACAGTTTGTAACAGGTAAAACTTAGAAACAGCCTAATTGGCCATCAACTGGAGACTGGATAAAGAAAATGTGTTGTTTTTCTTTATAAAATGGAATACTGCTCAGCCATAAAGAATGAGAAATTAAAGACATGTATAACTAAATGGATGCACATTGAGGCCATACTCTTAAGCGAAATAAATGGGGCATACATGTATAAATACTAAATAGCTTCTCTGCTGTGAGAAACTGCAAGTGTCAATAAGGACCAAAAGGTATAATAGATAATGTGAAATAGGAAGAAAAGGGGCAAAGGGGAGGGTGAAGTGGAAAGTATAGGGGAAAGGCAAAAAGAGGAAACCACCAACAGATCTAAGAAACAACCTACAATGTGGGATTTTTACCAGCTGTTCCTCAGACAATGGACTTCTCTAGAATATATAAAAAAACTTTAAAAAATGAGACTGCCCCAGATTTATAGACACAATTCAAAAATGAGCATTTGAAATGAAAAGACATTTCTCAATCAAAGAAGTAAAAGCATCAAATAAACATATGAAAAAATGTTCAAATGTTCAACACCACTGGTCATTCGAGTGATGCAGATGAAAACAACAGAGATTCCACCTCACTCCAGAAAGAATGGCTTCTATCAAGAAATCAACCAACAAAAAATGCTCATGGGGTTGTGGGGAGAAAGGAACCCTTCTCCATTGTTGGTGAGAGTGCAGACTGGTGAAACCACTGTGGAAATCAATATGGAGATATCTCAAAAAAATAGGATTAGACGTCTCATTTGACTGAGCTATTTCCCTTCTGGGTATCTTCCCAAAAGAATGAAAAGAATAATACCACAGTGATATATGTGCACCCATGTTCATAGTTACACAGTGTGTAATAAATAAAACTTGGAAACAGTCCAATTGCCCATCAAATGGAAACTGGATAAAGAAGATGTGTGTGCTTTTTTTAAAAAAATAAAATGGAGTACTACTCACCCAAGAAGAGAAATTAGAGACATTTATAGCTAAGTGGATGCACATTGAGACCATATACTCTTAAGTGAAATAAATAGGACACACATATGTAAATACTGGATAGTTTCTCTGGTGTGAGAAACTGAAAGTGAAAATAAGGATCAAAATGTGTAATATATAATGTGAAATAGGAAGAAAAAGTCCAACAAAGGGGAAGGGGAAGTGAGAGGGGCAGGTGAAAGGAAAGAAGGGAGAGGAATAAATATGAGAAAGGGAAAAAATGGAAACAAAGTCTTTGTAAATAGGGAGGGATGGATGGGTTGAAGGGAGGGCAGGGGAGTGGGAAAAAATAAGAACCAAGATATATAAAGGTACAGATTCTCAGTAATGAAAGTCATAATATTGTATACCTGAAATGTACCAGTAAAATTAATGACTTAAAAATCATTTTAAGAACACTTTTATGTTAATTATGGATACAGCTGGGGCCATTTGAATTGCAATGTTGAATAACAGGCCAATAGGAACATCAATTAGCCCTGAATAAATAGCATGGGACAAATGCCAAAAAAAAAAAAAAAAAAAAAGTGGAGACTCATATCACTCAGCAAATCTATTATGTTTCTGTATATCTTCATGAACAAAGAAGGGAACTTTTGTATGACTTTAAGAGAACAAAGGCTTTAGGATTTCTGATGACATTTGAGGGAAGGAAGCCTTAAAGTAGTGCTTTGCAACCTTAAGCATGCACCACTCTCCTGTGGAGTGCTTGTTTAACACACATTGCTGGGCCTCACCTTCAAAATTTCTCATTCAGTAGGCCTCGGATGTTATCCAAGAATTTGCATTTTCATAAGTTTCCAAGTGATGCTGATGCTTTGGTCCAAGCACAACACTCTGAGAACCACTGCTTTCAAGTGTTGCTAAAAGTAAAGGGAGTTTGTTTATAAAATCTTATGAGAGTTATCAATAGCTTTTTCAAAAGTTAAACAAATGGTTCATTTTTAATAGCCAACAAAATATTTTGCACGCTTCATTTTAAGGATTCCATCTTTATATTTTAGCTCTTATTGGTAGAGCAGGTCCTAGTTACACATATTATTTCATTAAATAACTGTAATCATATTCCAGGATAAATGTTATTATACTCACTTTACCCATGAATAACTTAAGCCTCAGAGTAGTTTGATTACTGTTCAGTAGTTCACACCTGGTCAGTGAAATGGATGGAGCTTCAATAGAACTCTCTAATTCCAGGATTAGAGGCCTATTTTCACTACCATACTTCTCAGCCTGAGAAATTAAAACTAATTTTAATTTAATACTAATGGTAACACCTTGGTTGTTAGAAGATTGATGTGAAATTACTTTTTACCTTGACATTAGAAGTAGAAGGCTGGTTAAAACAAAATCGGAGCAAAACAAAAGATCCTATCCTGGCAGACTGGCACACAGCTGTAATCTCAGCTACTCAGTAGGCTGAGGCAAGGGGATTTCAAGTTCAAGGCCAGCCTGGGCAATTTAGGAAGACTGTGTCCCAAAAGAAAAAAGGGCAGCTTTGTTACACAACAAAGATGGCAGCCAGCCTTTCTTACCAAGAGGGTTAAAACATTTTAAAGTTAACTATAGAAAAACACCAATTTCTAGTTGAGTCTTAGTAATTTATCTAAATTGCAAAAACAAATTGGCCTTTTTTTTGCTTAATTGCTTACATGCTTTAATGAATTCTCTATGAAGAGACACCAAGACTAAAAAAGTTATTAGTATCCCAGAAACACCCTGATTACCCTAGAAATCTCTGAAAAACTAGTAACAAGAAGTTAGTAACTGAGTTCATAATTATTTCCTTTTCTCTAAACCAAAATTGATGGCCAGTAGAAAGACATTGAAATCCAGTGCAGACTGACACTATTTATAAGGACTTGATATTTTAGACTTGTATTGCACCATTCATGCTAGGATCATAAAAATGGTGGTTAAAATTTATACCATGTTAGTCTGATTAACACTGAGATGGGTAAAAATAAAGGATTGAGGAGAAATATTTATTTCACAAAGGTAGGGTCTTTAATATACAGAAAGCTGCATAAATCTGCAGATGTTCTAATTAGATTCAGCTGAACTGCTTTACAATGCAGGATAACATGGATTTACTCTGCCAGCCACTAAGAATAACTTTTCTGATGAAAAAACAAGGTTCAAGCTCCAATATTGAAACATAAAATACCCTAGCCCAGGGAATAGATTCCTTTCACATCAATTTCTTCATTGGCTCAGATTCTTGCAACACTGAAGCTACTTCTTTATTATAAGACTTAAACAGAATTTTAAATGGTACCCTAATGGTACTCTTCTCTTACCTGGAACCCTATTTTCTGTTAATAGTCAAGCATTAATCTTAGATCATGAGAACACTATCAAACAAGTTATTCATGTGGTATTTAATTACAGCAAACGAGTAGTTTAGGCTATGAGAAAATCTGGCTCATACAGATGACATTAAGGATGTAATTCATGGAGTATTTTTGTTAATTGAGTTCCTTTTTTCTTGAATATTTGTCAGTTTTTAATTTCCTGTGTCCTGGCAGGGTAAATCTGTGTTGTCCTGCATTCATAAAGAAGTAGTTTAGTGAATCTTTTCAGAGCCTTTGCTGAGGCCCAAGTTATAGCCAGGGTGAAAAACAGACCCACCTCTGGACTGGGGACCCTACTTGATCTCCAAAGGCATGGAGATCCCTTTGGTATCTAACTTCGAAAAGTTCGTTCAGCACCAGAATGTTTTATGCTTCCATAGATCCCTAAACTATGGTTGTAAGATTCAGCTGGGCATTTTGATTTAACTGTTTCTCATCGTAGAAGGCAAGATGAGGGAGAATGTTCTTTACAAAGGGTATTGAGGGAAAAGTGTGACAGATGCTGTGTCTTGAACCTCATGTTCCATTGACTTTCCCTTAGATAAACCACCCTTTGGTCAATATTCCCTGAATTATATTTGATAAGCCAACCTATTCTCCTTAATTAAAATGTTGGCAAGCAGTCTTCATGTGAATTTATGCCAAGCATTTGTTATAATTTCCATGTTTTATGACTTCCCATTTTGAATAGTGAAAAAATAATTTCATAAACCCTTCTGAAAGGCAGCCTCTTGTAAACACAAATTTTATTTCCCTCATAATCTTTTTGGATATCTGTGAATTTGTGCAGAACAAAAAAAATACATTGCTCAAATATGCCATGTTTTAATTTATTAATAAAAACAATATAGCTGTGAAAGGCATTTGCAGGAAATTGATTTAAGATAGATGTTACTGTGATATAAGCATTAGTTTGCAACATTAAGAACAATGAACATGGAAAATCAATATTATTTATAGACTTAGCAGCTACCTATTACTGTAGAATCTGAGTCAGGAATAATATAAAGACTGTAGACCCAGATCCCAGCATTTGCATTTAACTCTTGTTTGTTAAATGTATAAGTCAGATTATTTTGTTTCATATACAACACACACACACACACACAAACACACACACACACACAGAGTCAGGATGTAATAATAAACTGATTAGTGATGTAAAAAATCCCAACAGTGCTTGTAATGTAATCCACAAGGAACTCAATAAATATGAATTTCTACTGCCCATCCATCTTCCTTCTCATGTCTTGGACATGTTCCTTCGTTTCTTCACTTTCATCAAAGGATAGTTTGGGAATTAAAAGGAGATGGAGTTGTGTTAAAACTTATTAGAATGCTTTGCACCACATTGCATAGGGAAATTTTGGCAGATGAGTTTGAACATGGTTAAAATGAATATAAGAATGATTTGTACCTTTTCACATTCCAAGATAGTTTTCTTATTAGCATAGATCCTGGAGATGCAGCTGCACAGAGGAGAAAGCTAGGAGACATTTCAGGAGATCTAGGTCTTCAATGGATCACTTCATACTTTGTCAGGCTGAGAAGGAAAATATGTGAACTCTAAGAATATGTCCAGCTACCTCTTCTTTTCCATTAACTACTTAGTATGACTCAGGCTCTACTTGTCTGGAGCTTCCAGCCTATGATGAATAATCTTTCAGTCTTTATTTTTTTAGTTTATAAATTGAATGCCATAGGAATATCAAAGATTGACTCCAGTTCATCCCTTGATTCACTGTTCCAAGGTTTACTTAGCCAAGGTCACTATTGGGATACTTTCCTTGCTAAAAATACAAAATTCTGTCTTTATTATATGTTCTAAGGTGAGAAACTTGCCCCTTACTCTTTATCTTTTGATCTCTCTACACAGGAAGAGCTGGCCCTGGTAAATTGAATCCTAGAAGTAAAATAGTGCTGTTATTGAGTGGTGCATGTACCTGAATCTGGCAGAGGGATTTTAGAAATTGCCAACATGGTTATGAGGAGAAAGAAAAGTAGATATTATTTCCATTACCTCTTTTGAACTAAAGAAATCACATTGTGGTGGCAGGCTTTCCTTCAAACCTAAATTCAATAGACACTTATTTGATCTCCCTTTGCTCATTTTCACTTGCACATCATCTCAGTTGTGTGGCATATATCAGAGAAAAGACTCCTGCTTTTTGCCTTTAAATCTTTGACAAGATAACTAAAGAATGAAGTTTTAGATTGACTATTATCTCACTATATCGACCCGAAGTTAAACAGTATCTCCTTCACTTTGTGTTTTCTAGACTTAGCAGTCTAGGCAGAATTAAAGCTCATTAGCAAGCTCCAGAGGCCCTCTGGACCTTTTTTTTTTTTTGGCAGAGAGCATGATGTCACAGTTTTCTTCCTCTGATAGAATCTGGAGAGAGCTGAGACCACACAGGTCAGGGGGAGGGACATGCAACACGAAGCAGCCCTATTGTCCCTTCACTTGGTAACAGTCTCACAGTACAGCAACACATTCAGCTCCCAGGATAAAAGCAGGTGTTTTGCTTTAATTAAGGCCAACAAAGACTTCTGTTTCCAATAGGCTTATATTTTTAGACACCAAGGTAAGAAAGAAGAGTACATCACCCCATTCTGTGCATAAAAATAATGATTCAGGATGAACTGCATAATTAAGAATTGAAAGGGGGAAATGCAATTCAATTAAAACTGACAGAATAATACACAGAATCAATGGCTTTATTTGGTGTTTAATGATGATACTGTTTTCATTTCATTATACATGAGTCATAACCAGCTTTGCCTTGGTTTAATTGTATTCTTTACAGAGTGAACCGAAGTATGCAATTTAGAGTAGACTCATCAATTAAAAAGAGGCTTATTTAAGATTATCATAAATTGATCCCTAAGACTGAAACCAAATGTTTCTGTTTCCAATACATTAATTTATTGGAATGATGAAAAATTTTAGGCAGAACTGAGAGAAACATTGGTAGGGGGAGATAAAGAGTGGTATACAGGGTAAAGACTGATTTCCATGAAAAAATGACAGTAGTATGATTTTCAGTGGGGAAATGATATGGCAATGTATTTTTGATCCAGTGAGCTGTACAGAACATGATGGGATTTTAGGCTGGAGAGGAAATGCTAGATTGAGCTGCTTATATGAAATGAATCACGGTATTGCCACAAAATCAAGTGTAACAGGAAGATATCATTTCTCCATGTGGCCTTATATCCATTTGGATTTGTGAATTGGTTCATGAGCTCCAAAGAAAGCAGAAAAAAGAGTTAAATATTGGTAATAAGGCCACTTGAGTATTTCATGGAATTAATGTGGAATATAGAACATTGTACTGTTGGGCACATTCACTGCAATGAAACTTGATGTTTTAGTCAGTGGGGTAAGTGTGGTATGTACCATATACTAGTGCTCTATGAACCTTCCTGAAATCCAGGATGAATTAGCAGTAAATACTAAATGATTAAAGGGTCATGATCTGATAGGTTGGTCATAACAAAGTATCCACTTGTGTAATTTCATTAGTCATGTAGATAAAAGTTTCATATTTTCCATGCTTTACTATAGTGTACTGTATAAACATATTAAAAGACTCTCACCCGTGACAACCCTGTGCTCAAGAGCTGATCACAGATTGGTTGGAGGAACAGTACTCTAATTTTTCCCTCATCCTGGCATCAAAGGGGCCACCCAACTGAACAGGATGCCTGGGACTGCCCACCTAAGATGTATTTATATAGATTGATCTTCCCGTAGTAAATACATCCTTCTAACTAAGATCTATTTTATAATCTCATAATAATCTGACTGTGCCATGCTAGATCAACTGTCTACAATAGTGATTCTTTTATAGTGATCTGGAGGGGACAGATAAGAAAGAAAAGAGAAAATTATACCTAAGAGTTTTAAAGCTTGCAAAGCAAATAAAAAAATTCTGTGCTTTGTCAGTGTGGAATATGATCTTAAATTTATAATGAGTCATCTGTAAAAATCATGTTTATGTCATCATAAAATTTTCTTATATCACTTTAGTTTTTTTTGTTTTTAGACATTGAAAAAAGAGTCAACATATGGATCAGCAAGGTTTTTCAGATATTCATCTGGATTATCCCTTAAATGCCTAACTTAAATTTGATCTTCAAAGCCAGATATATGGGTAAATATGTACATATAAAATATTAATTTTGTACATATACAAATAATTTTAAATAGTCATAATTAAATTGCTTTTGCTCTTTTCAATTTCAAAGATTGCTGTTGGCAAATTGTATAGTTTTCATAGGTAATTAAAAATAAGAAATATCACTTATAAAGAGGATAAAATGATAAACAGGAAATAGGATATATGTGATTTGTATCCTAGTTTTGAAAAATGAACATTGACTCATTATTCGGTACAACCTGTTCAGTACAACTGTTATTCGGTACAACCTGTGCATAGCACAGTTCACTCTCTAGACAGTCATGTAGGGCTGCAGTTAGTTGCCATGGTGCAATCAGTTATGCCACCTTTTTTAGTATTCAAGTAAATGTCCTTGATCTTGCTGTGCTGTGCTGGTAGAGCAAGTGAGTCACTGATAGGAGACCCTATATTTTTTAGGAGTTCTGGTATTTATTCACTCATTCATTCATTCTTACACTCAAGAAATAGATTCTGAGCATCCTGTATGATTTAAATATTATACTAAGTGGTAGATATTTCAATAAACATTTTATAGCACTTATCATATGCCAAACATTGACTCATGTAATTTTCATAATCACTTTATAAGGCATATTTATTTCTCTCCTTTTACAGGTGAGTAAAATAAATCACAGGGAGGTAGAAGAACTTGCCTAAGGTCACACAGCTAGTAAGTAACAGAGCTGAGATTAGAACCTAGACAGTCTGGCTCCAGAGCCCATGCTCTTAACCATAACATAGAATCTATGCCCTGCTGGAATTTACAATCCAGAGAAGATGCAGATAATAAACAGTTTAAAAAAAGAGAGAGAGAGAAACAAAGGTGGGCTGGACTGATAGGGCTGTGAAGGGAACAAACAAGGAAATGAAAAATAATGGTTTGCTGCATAGGGTGATCAGGGAAGTAACAAGTAAGCTGAGGCAGGAAGGGTAAGAAAGAACCAGCCCAGGGCAGGGATGAGAAAGTATCCAGGCCAAAGGAAGGTTTCTAAATGCTCAAGAAATCTGGCAGGGCCTTGAGGCTCAAGCTGGTAGCATTGTGCTTGGCACTGTCATTTCCAGATGGGTGGGCCAGAGCAGAAGGACTCCAGAGTGACTGGAAGCACTTTCACTTTGAGATAGGGAAAGCTTTTCTCCCTGATGGGACACAATGTTTCTTGGAGTACGGGGAGTTTAAATGGGTGGGAAGTAAGGAGAGTAGAGATAGAGGCGAGTCCCAGAGAAGCCTCAGGGAAACAGCCAGTCCCCAGGAATCTTGAAGACACTGAGATCAGGGGTGACCTGTTCCCTGCACCTTGGATGACCTATATCCCTGCCCATGGGAGCAGCACCCCCTCCCACCAGTGGAACTGGGAATGTGTTATATGTATTTAAGTGAGGCCATGAAAAGCTTCACAGAGACACTGGTGCCCCAGCCTGCCACTGAAGCCAAACAGCTCCTGGTCCTCACGGACAAAAAGAGTGGAGAGAACAGGCAAGCTTGAAGGGATAACGTGGAAATAGGAGATGTCTCTGGAGATTTTGTGTAGGTGGAAGACAAATGCCCTTAGCAGTGTTTTAGTACTGTGAAAGGCCCCCTCTCCCCAGAAAGTAAGGTCACCCCTAGGAAAAGGGGAACTGCTGATTGTTAGGGATTAATTGCCTGTCACCCCTGCAAAATGGAGGCTCAAAAGGGAAGGGGAGTCATGGAAAAAGCAGTTGGTTGCTTGTACATCTGAGTTTGTGGACTAAACTGCCTACCTGCTTCATGTGGAGGCATCTTCTAGATTTGCTAAAAATTCACCTGCAGCAAATATCCCCACTATTGGTTGATTACAAATGCTGAGATTAAAGCCAAAGCATCTGGAGGCAACATGTGTAACCCTGTGGGAGAACTGCTGAGCAAAAATGAGGTCAGCTCTTAGAAGTCACTGTTAGTTTTGGAAATATCAGTGGGCTGTGATAAAGCTGAATTTGAAAAAGTGTAGGAGAATGTTTTAAAGCCTCTGGGCAGATAAAAGGTAGTCTGCAGAAAAAAGGGAGAATAGGTGAAGGCATCCTTAGAGGTTTAAAAAAATTGTTAATTTTTAGTAAATTAAATTATTGATTTCCAGAAGGATAACTAGAAAGAGGGAGTTCTGAAAATATTTTTTATAGTTTCCAACTTGGACTATGATTTTTCTAAATGAACTAATACTCTCTTGAGAAAAGAAAGGGCAATTTTAGCAGTGCCCACTAAACATGAGCCCGCTAAACTCCTTTAAGAAATAGCTACCAAGGAAAAAGTGAGTTCAGCATTCTTTTTTTTTTTTTTTTTGAGTTCAATATTCTTAAAGGTGCCTTTTCCTATTTTGCCAACGATGTACCCTCACACATAGGG